TATTTTTGACCCGACTGATATTACGCTATCGTCTTAATGAGGCGTGTTATTGAATCACGCATAAATAGCCACTGTGCTGGCCGCCGGCACCTTTAGGGACGGATCTGTCACGCGACCACCGACTGACGAGATCCCCCGAGGCCCACGAGGCCCGCAGATAGAATCGAGGCCGCGTCATCCGCGCCGTCCACGCCTTTGTACGATATACGCCTACCCTAGGAAAGAAGCCTTCCCAGGACACCTATGCTCTTCATATGAGTTGTGAATGCGAAAGCATGAATGTCCTTCTTCCGCTCCCTTGGGTTGTTTGCGGTGTACTTGCGTGGACGGCCACGTTACGCTGCTGCCGAGGTTGCGGCCGGCGACGATAAAAATTCCTCAGGCGCCGCGATCATCCTCGGCGCCGAAAGGAACAAACGTAACTGCAGCTCCCCCCCCTCCCCCCTCCCCCCCTTCTGCGTCGGCTGACACGTGAGGTACAGCCGAGCGCGCTCCTTCTAGGCGTGCGGGCCGGAGGGGTGGCGTTCTTTGGAACTATAAGCGTTCCACCCAGTGCATTTATCAGCAGTTTCGCTGGGAGTTTCGTGTTTCTCTGCGATTTCTACAGTGGTTACAGACGACGCCGGATCCGCTCCTAAAACAATTAATGCTATCGGATTGAAACCCCCAAAAAGTGTCCATCTCATTGATGTCATATCGTGACGAAACACTCCGTCGGCGGCTATGAGCTTTGGCACATTCTTTTGTGGGCAGGACAGGGTTACAGTAGGATTACAGGAGGGAGTTCCAGCGCTCACCTTGTAGTACAGGAGGCGACCGAAGCGCTTTGTCACGCTATGACTTTGCGGCGCTACACAAAGGTATGTTGTTTCGTAGAAATCCGCAAATCAATCTAAGGCGTGCAAGGCGCGGTGGCATTAAAGCCCCCCGATGTGTTTGCGTTTGTCTTGCAAGTAGCGTCGAATGAGTCAAAGTACGAAAACCGTGTCTCGGGCATCCATTGGAAGCAAATGGCGGTGAAGCACTGAAATGAGTGGCCCTTAGAAACGAAAGGCGGCGGAGCACCCGCTTGTGGCACGTGTCTTGTGCGTTTTCACAACAATAATTAAGGGCACTTTAAAAAAATATATATTTTTTATTAAGGCGTTATTAACGGAATTATCAATCACCGCCATTATTTTATGGGCGGCTTTATCTGGTGCTTACCAGCTTTCCTCGCGAGTCTTGCGGAATATCGACAGTTATTTTCAGTTTACCTTTAAGCTGGGCGAGGACGCTCGACCCTCAGCGCGAGCTTGCTCGGTTTTGCTGTGCTTTGGTTGTGCGTGCCTGCTGCGTTCACACGTGTGTTAGTAAGAGCAAAAAGCTGCGTTGAAGGCGGAGCTCCTAGTGTCAGATTATGGGGGAACAGAGTATACACGTTTGTAAAAAAGCCTCATGTGCCCTCCCCTTTTCAGCGGTGCTGGCGCCGCGTAATGTTTCCATACGCTGGGGTGAGTCAGGGGCTCGTCATTAGGGTGCGCGATGAGAAGATGGCGGCGTATGCTGTATCGCCGACTGCCAGCGTTAGCCACACAGTTACAGTTTCGGAACGCAGGAGGAGGTATCACAAAAACTCGTAGTATCCGATATTGTACGACGGCACATGTTTAAGTGTTGGAGCTTACTTTATAACGATTGAAACCTCTGTTCCAGCACGCTTTGGAAGCCAAAGCTGCTGCGAGTGCAGCCATCCTTGATGCAATGTCCATGCGGCTTCTGACGCATTCTGATGAGTGATTTGAGACTATAGATATGTATTTTTGCAATTTGTATCTGGTTTATGTATTTTAATTAACAGTTTCTGCTCTTTCGCGGTTGAAGAAAACACCTCTATGTTTAATACATAATTTTTAATTTATCTCTGCGCTAAGTTCTACAATTCTTCAGCAAAAGACGCTTTTCAACACTGCACGGCAAGCAGCGAACGTCCTGCCTGGAGAGTAGGTCGGTGTCACCTCGGCGCGCGGTTCGAGGTTAAGCCGGGATCCCACTTGCAAAGGTGTTTTGGGGATAGGTTCGTCAATATATGCGCCGGCTTCCAGCACAGTGGTTATTTGTGGGTGATCCGAGAACGCGCGTTATTTCGACGATGGCACAAGAGCGGTAAGAACTATGTGAATGTCCTCGATATTCCGTGCCCTCAGCAGCGCGCTCGTTCTATCCAAAGCGAGAACGATGCCGGCGATGCGTCCCGCAGCAGAGTGCTACTGCAGCCTGCTGGCGTCACGCTACCGCAGGTGTTCCCGAAAAACAATAATCAGATATCATCAGCCGCGCGCCGTGCGGACTGTGCGCTAGACAGTCAAGCTGTGAACTGAGCCTGGGCTTAAAAAAAAAAAAAACTTTTGCTGGGCGCTTTCAACGGCGAAGCGTGGCGCTTCATCATCGACAGTCTCCCTTAGGGTTGTCAATATGTGCGCAGATCAGTATCGTAGTAGGTCGTGGGCTGAACAACTGGATAGCGGCGGACGACCGACCGACTTCGTGACGGTCGTGAGACTTCACGGTAACGGCAAATCTATCTTCAGCACAAAACAGCGATCAGGACGGATAATAGTGCAAAACATTCGCGCGAGAAATGGTGCGAGACATGTCGAATTCGAACTCGCAGAGCCGACAAAGCAGAAAAAAAGAAAAAAGAAAAAACAGTCTGTTGTAACAGCGTGTTTTCCGGAAACTCTCTTCTCCGCATTTCTTCCTCCTCCTCGATCTACATAGTCCAAATGTCGCGGTCGTGAGAGTTCGTACTCATCTCTCGGTTTCAAACAGTTTTTTTTTTTTAGCTTTATAAACATTATACGCTAGTCTGTAGCAAACTATTGTGCGGGCAATCTGCGCGCACCATATTGAATTGTCAGGCAAAAAAAACAACAAAAAAACTGGGTATGACTGTTCTATTAAGTGGCGGTTTCGGTAGCGTAAGACTGCAGCTAAAGCAACGAGCGCGAGGTAGCCCCCGCTCCTACCTTTGAGACATGCGTTTCTAGCGCAAGTCCTCCTTCTGTTGAAGAACGCTTCAAAGCATGGACCTCGAGAGCTCTCTTGCTTGTGGATTTGATTGCAGTATCAACTTAAAGGGATTGTCCGCTAAATTATGTCGTTCAGAAAACAATTAAATTATATTGTCATTGTGTTTAGAAAAATCCTCTGCACAATATCTAAATTTGTAATCCTCCGCTGCAGAAATGATTTAATATTATGCAGAGCCTAGAGCGACTGAATAAGCTACACCTAGAGTGTCAGCACTCTGTTCCCAATATTGTTGAGGGCGCCACCATCTTGATGGGTGCTTATGCCGAGCAGACGCAAGTGCCGATCGTCATGATACAAAAGTGCGCCTTCTTCAGCAATAGATTCGGCGGTAGGAAGCTCGTGCAATTTCGCTTTGCTCTGTCGCGAACTATTTAGAGGATGAGGAGCTACGACCAAGCCTCTACAGGGTCTGGTCTCCCGGCGACGTTCAGGAGCAACGCGTCAACTGGTGTCCTCTAAGTTACCCCCCTGATGTTCGGAAGACTATGCCTGAGAGTGGTAGCCGTCTACCAAGACTGGGCCACATCCTAGGCCACCAATATGCCGCAGCTTGCCATCCACTACGCATGGTCAAGCCACCGAACACCACTCTGGAGGGCTTGCACGAACACTTCCCCGGGTTCAGCCAGACTTGAGACCCGCTGAAAGATAGCTGTCCCAGCGATCAACTCACTAAACAACATTGGGCCCACAACACCCGTAACATCATCCCGCCATACTCGCCCACACGCTCCATTTCAACACAGTTAGCACCTCTCGGCCATCTGTACACAATCTCATCCCATCATCATTGGATGCGGCCCCGCAGGCCTTCATGGTATGGGCCGCCTGCCTTTCTGCGGCGCCGCGGTTCTCCTGAACCAAAATAAATATTATTATTATTATTAAATATTTGCGGAGGATGGGAACGCATTTCCTGTGAAAATGGTTGCCAGATAGCTGGCAACCTTTTTTTTAAGCCACAAGATGGGTAAGTGTCCTTACTCTAACAGATCTCAACTGCTCAGATTGCACCTGCAAAACACACAACGTTTTAGATGAGAATAGCGGAAATTCTGACGTAACATGAGGCAAAGAGAGGCCATCTCAGCTTTTGCCCGCCGTCTTTGTGAGATAACTTTGTTCTAAGAAAGTAAGGATTGACGGTATTGAGGGAAGCTGAATTGTTCACCGATGATCTTCGTATGCGCCATCATGTTGATCTAAACCGGGAATAAGTAAATGCCCGCCACTCTGATGTTACAATGCCTAATGTGACGTCACGACACAACCAGACGTGCATAGTTGCGAGATTTGGCGTTGAATATTTGGATTAACGAATATTGAGGCCTATATAATGAGACAAATATCGTATATGACTATATTTATTCCCTCTCTACATGACGAGCGCAAAAGGTAAGTAAATTTGGATACCCCAGGGCAAACCCTTTAATGGTGAACGGAGTATAGATCTACAACGAAGCACGTGGTCGGTCCGCTACCGGCACGCCACGCAAAGCTACTGTGAGCAGAGCGTTCGTGGAACAAAAGGGGAACATCCGTTACCTTTGTGCACTTAAGCAGATCAACTAAAGAACCCGACGCCAAAAAAGCCAGGTCTTTCGGAGTGGTGTTCAACGGTGTGGTCATCAAACGGCGGCTTATGTATTGATCGAACGAAAAATCAAATTGTCATGAGCAAGGAAGTATTAATTCCTGCTTTTCCAATAAATGAATAAAAAAAGTAATAATTGAAAGCTGAAGTCGTTTTTAATTATTAAATAAGTTTACTGTAGTAATTTCAGATATAGTAACTACCTTTAGTTCCATTTTAGCAGCGCGATGAACAGCGATTGCAATGTGATTACATGAAGTAGTAAGTCCACTTGATTGCACAAGCGTAGTGTGACGGTGAAGTGGGCTGACGACGGGTCGTCTGCTCGCAGGGGAAGAGGTCAAGGTTCGCCTGGAGATGAGCAACAGCCACACGAACGGGACGTCGAGGAACGTGGTTGCGGACATTACCGGAACGGCCCACCCAAGCCAGGTGAGGGGTTCGCGCCCAAGACGCAGCCACCACACAGTGCCCGGTTTCCTTTGCAGTACGTCATACTGGGCGCCCACACGGACAGCTGGGACGTGGGCCAGGGCGTCATGGATGACGCCGGCGGAGTCTTCATCACCGTCAAGGCCTTGTCTTACCTGCGCAAGCGGGGCCTGAGGCCCCGGAGGACGCTCCGCGCAGTGCTCTGGACTTCGGAAGAGAACGGACTCGTTGGGGCCGCCGAATTTGTGCGAAGGCACCAGGACGAACTAGAAAATGTGTCGCTGGCCATCGAATCCGATACGGGCACGTTCGCGCCGTACGGACTGACCACGTCCAGCGAGAACAACCTGACGCAGTGCATCATGCGCGAGGTCTTGTCCCTGATGGCCCCGATAGGTGCCACCACGCTGGAGCGGAGCGTTCGGGGCTCGGACGTGGACAAGCTCCACGCCTTGGGCGTCCCGGTGTCGACGCTACTGAATCGCAATGAGCGCTACTTTCACTACCACCATACCAGGGCGGACACAATGAGCCTGATGAACAGCCGGGATCTCGACCTCTGCACCGGCTTCTGGGCTGCTGTGGGCTATGTCTTTGCGGACCTGCGTGACATGCTACCCAGATAACGCCGCGCCTCAACGCAGCACGTGACACTCACTCAGGACAGGTCCCTCCCTTACGCGTTGCAACGGGTTCCCAGTCCGGGGTGTAGTTGCATGAAAGCAAAGGTGGGACTTGGGGGGGGGGGGGGGGGGATGGAAAATGCATCTGCATACTAAATCTTTCTCCGCTTAATGCTAAAGCGATAGCCTTGGATCGAACACGTATTCGCTTAATCGCAATTTATTCAAACATAGTCATTTCTCTTGGCTCAGAAGACACACAGTCCAATATTTAGGCGATTTCGTCGGGAACTTAGCATAGGGGCTCTTGAAAAGTTAATCTCAAATTTATTTAAGAGTCCAAATTATTTTAAAGGTTTCATAATACATTTATGGAAACGACAGTTTACATTTGTAGCAGGTATTGTAGCAGGCAAGCTCATGTATTGGAGTAGCTTTGACTCTTTTGGAATGAATTTAAGCACGGGTTAGCACATCACATACGAATAAAGCGGTGATTGGATCACTAAATGAGCTACTTTTTATAATAATTTAGGGTTTATCTTTGATATTCAAGCATATTACTTATTAACATTTGTGCATAATGCATTTAAATATTTAGAAAAACTGTACATTGAACTCAGCTGCCTTTTTTAGGAATAAGAGTCAGGGCATTAATCTTTGTGTTTACAAAAGGGATCAACAAAGAAAAATGGTTGAAAAATAAATCGAAGCAAGTCACTTCAGGTAAGGTGAAGCATCCTTACCTTTCTCTTTTTTGTGTAGCCTGCCAATAAAGCTTACGGAAATCTCCGGAAGAAACTACCTAAAGCTGTAAAATGTCGACCAGTAAAAATATGAGCCTGCTGCGTGGGATATAACTTAACTGCTTATTAAAGCATGGTTCTGCGATTTAGTTTTTTTTTTTCTTCTGCAAATTTTAAGACAGAAATAAAACCAAAACCAATTTTCATTTTGGAGTTAATTTTTCATGAGAGATGTTAATTTTAGTTTGACTTATAACTCAAGATGGTGTCGAACATCGTAATTATTATATAGAAAAATTGTTTGCGGAAAATAAATTTTAATGCGAAAGCATCAACTGTCCATGGCGCGAAGCTGGCGGAATCTGTAACCACGGAAAATTTGAAATAAATTTCAACTCTCCAGGCGGCGTCTGTAACCACGACAAAACGTGCGAAAACTTCCCAGCGAAATGGCTCCTAGATAGCCATTAGCCGCGACGCGTCATAATTCCAAGAAACGCCACCCCAGAGATAAACCTTCTTCCTGGCGCTGCGGATCAGACGCCGGTAAAAGGCAGACTTGGGTAGTAATTCGTTACTTTTGAAGGAATTTTGTAATTGTCACCTAACTTTTTTGCGCCACGGATTTTTAATGTAATTTCGTGAAACTAAAGCTCGTGAAAGCTGGCGACAAAATATGCTTGCGTTTTGACAAACTTTTTGTGAATGACGCAGCATATGTCTTTGACAGTGCCTTGATCGGCAGTCCCACTAGTGAACGCCACAGATGTAGATGAATGACATGTCAACTATTCGTTATCGCAAACTGTTTTTCGCAGTAACCCGGCATGGTGTCAATAGGCTATGCCATAATCATGATGTACCCGCGTCCACTTCGTATTCTACTGAAATAAATCAGAATGTTTCGCATAGCAACATTCCGAGTGTGTTATCAAAGCGAGACGACATCTCATCCTTGATTGAATCTTGATCGGCTGATGTCGTTGTTCTCGCGGAAACATGGTTGAATGATGAAGTGGATGACTCGATTATTTTCGATGGCGTGTCATCGTTTACTATATTTCGTCAGGAGAGACAACAACGCAGGGGCGGCGGGGTTATGCTTGATGTGAGGAAAAGTATAGTTTGTACACGCATTTGCGTTGGCACGTGTTTAGAAATTGCATGGTTTTCCTTAAAAACAATAATATGTCACTGCTCTGTTTGAGGTCTGTTACAGACCTCCTGATTATAAATTGGGCTTTGTTTTAGATTTTCATGACATACTTTGTGATTTGTCATTACGGTTTCCTGGCTGCTACTTTATAATTTTCGGCAATTTTAATTATCCTTCTACAAATTTGGTCTCAAAGTCAACCTTCTTGTCAGGGTAACATTGCTAAGTGTGAAAATTTCATCCAGGCTTGCCTTGAGTTCAACTTCTCGCAGCTTGTAACAATACCCACACGCTCCACTCCTTCGACCTCAAATATTCTTGACCTCATCTTGACTACACAACCCGACCTGTTTCATCCAGTTACTACCGTTCCAGGGTTATCTGATAACAACGTTTTGTTTGCGCAAATCATTCTCCCAGTAACAAAAAGGGAAACCATTCGTAAACCCATTAGAGGTTATGGCCGGTCTAACTACGATGCAATAAACAGCGAATGAGCACTTTTTATGAACAGGTTTTCTTCCGTAACTTTGAAAGCCGCACAGTTGAGCAAAACTGGGAGCTTTATAAAAATAAAGTGAAATACCTTATTGATAAGCATATTCCTGTTATTTTCATTACGACGTAAAATGTTTCTTCGTGGTATGATGCAAGCCTGAGGCGCCTAGGGAATAAGAAAAACGTCGATTCAGGCGTGCCAGTTGCCGCGACAGTACCTCCGACTGGCATGCATATCATGAGTGCGAAACAGAATATAAGCCGAAGGTTGCTCTAACTACAAATTCTTACTACCAAATCACTCTTCCCAATATGTTGTGTACAAACCCCAAAACGTTTGGTCAGTAATAGATCCTAAATCGGCTAACGCTTTAAATCTTATTGCTATACAAGGAAATGCACTACCTGACCTCGAAAGTGCGCATGTTTTGAATTCTGTTTTTTCTGCCGTATTTTCACGTTAGATTAGTGCCCTGCCTATTTCGGATACGTTTTTTGAACACGATCAAATGGAAAGTATAACGATCAATTCATCTGGTGTTGTAAAACTGATTGATAACTTGAAGGTTTCTTCTTCGAGTGGTGAAGGCAAAATTAATTCGAAGGTTTTAATGAATACGAAAACAATTTGCAGTGTCATAGTGTCCGCAACTTTTTCGCAATCTTTGCTTTCTCATTCAGTTCATAATGACTGGAAGGTCGGTAAAATTATCCCGTTATTTAAATCAGGTGAACGCAGCCCCCCCTTAAGCTATCGGCCCATATCCATTACACGCATAGCCTCAACAATTTTTGAACATATATTACATTAGAACATCCTTCGCTTTTTCGAGATAATCAATTAATTTTTAATTACCAGTCTGGGTTCCGGAAGGGTCATTCCTTCGATACTCAACTCGCAGGATTCATTCATGATATCCATCTTTGTATTGACTTCGGTTCCCAAATTGATGTTATTTTTCTTGATTTCGACAAAGCGTTCGACCGGGTCCCACATAAGCGTCTGTTGCAAAAACTGACCCATCTAAAATTAGATAGTAACATTATCCTGTGGATCAAAAACTGGCTTTCTGACTGAAGTCGGTACACGGTCGTGAACTCTCATAGTTCAACTTCTATTCCTGTGTATTCGGGTGTTCCTCAAGGCTCCGTCCTTGGACCCTTGCTTTTATTAATATATGTTAAGTACTTACCTTAATGTATTTCCTCCTGCATCCGCATTTTTGAAGACGACTGCGTTCTATATAGGCACAGTTCTAACGAAGAAGAGAGCATGAAACTACAACATGACCTCACTAACCGATCATTATGGTGCTCGACTTGGCTCATGAAGCTTAACCCTTCTAAATGCAAAGTCATCTCATTTGTTAGGAAAGAGACCTTTTTTTTCCTCATAACTATTTCATTGATTCTAACGTTGTTGAGTCTGTTTCCACATTTAAATACTTAGGTGTTCACGTCGACTCGCATCTCTCCTGGAAGGTACGTATTCGGTCGTTGTTATTATCGTGCAATCGCTCTTTGGGCTACCTAAAACATACACTTCGTTTTGCTCCTCCTCACTTAAAGAAAACTGCCTAAGTTTTATTGATTTGGCCGAAACTTGAGTACGCATTGAGCATCTGGGATCCTCACCAAGCATAATAGATCGCTGAAATAGAAGTCTTTCAAAACCGCGTCGCGCGCCTTATTTTTTGTGATTATTCTCGACATTCCAGTCTCACCTTATTAAAACAGAAAGGCGACCTTCCAGAACTGGCCTTAAAGGGACAATGAAGGCAATTTCGGACATCTTTTTGGTGATTGAACTGGGTCCCAGGTACGTCTCAGGCCACGTTGCCCAAATTTCTGCCAAAACCGGCGCTTGTGTGCCGCGCAAATCAATTAAACAGTCGCGATAATAATCGTACCGGAATCGACTGGGGCGACGCCCCGAGAGTTGCGGGAGAAGCCAGGAGAAGCGGAGCTCACGTGACCGATGCGATGCCAAGAAGCGCGACGTCACAAGAGACGCCTCAGCGATTGGTCGAAACGAGAGACGCGCCCTCAGTCACGTTTTGGTTCTCGGTTTTTAGGAATTCTGTTCTAATTTCCGCTTGAATAACCATGAAAAGTATAAATCGGACCGGAAAGGATTAGTAAACCGTAAATAAAGCAGCATAATTCTTTTTTTTTTCTTTTCTACGCTAGACGCGAAACAACCAACGAGCAACTATGGGCACTTCGGCATGCGGGCCGCTCGTTACTGGCTGGGCGGTCTCCCTCGGGGCCCTCGGGTGATGGCGGAGGCCGCCACACACGTACTCCCGTTCCGTTTGCGGTGGGTTACTGAACGAAAGCTCGAACTCGCTCGCGAGAGCAGCATTGTCGTCCATGTTGACAGATTCGACGATACGACCGCGCCACCGCGTTGCTATAACCCACAGCGGTAACCGGAATCTCGATCTCCTAAAGACTACCGATACCGACTATTCACACTTGACGTCACTTCTACGTCACCTCCGTTTTTGGAGGCCCAGAAACGAGAATGGAGATTGTTCAGTTTCGGTTTCTTTACTTCTTTCGTAGGCACAGAAATACGCGTCACAAATGGCTACAATAAATTGGGCAGCATGCTATGTTCCCAAGAAGCATAAACACACCATTTAAAAAAATTAAATAAAATCGTCTTCATTGTCCCTTTAAGAAGCAAGCTTTCTTGCTTATGCCTTTTGCATCGCATTTACTATGCACCATCTCTCAGTCAAGGCACCCTAGCACAGTCGCATTTCGTTGCAGCTCGTCTTGATCACTCATGTAAGATTGACCGTTTCACCTGCCGCACTTCTTTTTTTTGTATTCCTTCCTTCCCAAAACAGCAAAGTGGTGTAATGATCTAACAAAGCGCGTCGTCACGGAGATTAACCCTGATAGCTTTCGTTTTCTTATCAGCAGCCATTTAGGTATTGTATAACACGATTTCTTCTACGTTGGCAATACTGTGGAAGATTTTATTTTTTGTTGCTGGATTTACGATATATTATATGTTTGCACTACTGTACATGTTTTTATATTATTATTGTTTGTGTGTTTCATATATGATGTACTTATCCCCCCCCCCCCCCTTATGTAATGTCCTTCCCAGAAGGACCGTTAAGGTATTTCAATAAATAAATACATATTTCGCAGGCAACCATCGGTTTCGAGTTATACTTATGCCAGCATGCGTTCTCTCCCTGGCAACAGTTGTTGGCAGATTACATTTAGTCAGGCATACTTAGTATGCATCCAACCATCGGCTTGCGCAGCTAGTTTCCGAATGACAAAACTTAGCTTCTGACGTGGACTCACGACATCTTCCGGTGGATTATAATGCGCCAAGGAAAAGAGATGCGGGTATATGACGTCAAAACTTCGAACAGAAGTCAATATATATCATAACTCGCACGATGACCTCTTACCCTTGCGATTACTTCAGTTACATGATGGGGTTTCTTGCAATCCTATAGCACTATGAATTCAAGGTCCTCCATGCACCTATTAAAGAAGCAAAACCCTTAAAATACTTCTTGTTCGAGCATGCTATGGGAAAAATCCTCGCTTTCGTAAATTAATACTTGTCTTGGTAATTATGATGGACCCGGAGAACAGAATAGTCTGTTCGGTCTGCAGCAAACCCGAAACTTTGTAAAGCTACCTGTGACGAAACATAGCAGATCTTCACGGACGCATAATAAAGGCACGAAATATTCTACGTTCATCTAGTGTTTCACAAGATTACAAGTTTAATATGT